ATTTTTTTTTCAATCCTTTTTCATCCTATTTTTTTTTTTTTCTTCTTCTCGTACTTTTGTCTGTCTCCAGTGCTTCTTGACGTTTTCCTTCGCTGTTTCGTTTTCCTCTTTACCCCCTCAACCTCACTCTTCTATCACTCGACTCTTCTAATCATTAATAATGATTGCCGTAAGCTCAGCGCATTCTCTCTCGTATTTTCGATAATTGTGCATAATTGGTTGAACACATTGTAATTAACATGTATTTAGTATTTTACTATTTTTCTATTCACCTTTCTATATCCAATGTTATAAATTCTTCTTGATGCTCAATTAACTAAGGATTTCTTTCCTTCCGTCAAACTCTACGAAATTTCATCTGCTATTATATTATAAATTGTAATAAAAATTTGTACTAAAAATTTATACTAAACTTTCTCTTAATGAGTATAAGCATACAATTTTACTCTTGCACCATTAGAAAATTGCTATATTATAATACGAAAAAATTAAACGTATCAAAAATATGAATAACGTATCTGCTTATAGATTACGAATAGTTGATTTTTCTATGGAAATAAAAATAATTTACTCGACTATGAAAAATTCTCTCTAATTGTAATATAAAAAAAAAAAAAAAAAAAAAAAAAAAAAAAAAAAAAAAAAAAAAAAAAAAAAAGAAATAAACCAACTCGTTTGATCTGATAATTATAGTTACTCTTAAAACTGCCAATAAAGAATAATTTAGTAGAACTTGGCTCTTAAACCACGGTAATTCTACGTCGCTGTATACGTCATATAAAAAACGATAAAAATGGATTTAATATGAATTTTTTGGTAAATGAATGTCTTTAAAGTTAGTCCTTCCAGTTTCATAATAAATTTCTTCATATTTAATATTGAACTACCAATAGTTTGATTATAATTAGCAAATTTTAATAATAACTAAGAGTATTAATTAAATTCGTATATTTTATCTCTTTATATATATATATATATATATATATATATATATATATATATATATACAATAAATATATTGTAATTTTCTGTTAATATAATAGCGGAAATAACTATGAAGCAATAGATAATATGATTAATTAGAGTTTTCTTGATACTAGTTTCTAATCATTAAACTTTATAATTTTATAAGTTTTCCCTTTTCACGATTTATCTATTGGAGATTTAAAATCTAAAATTAAGAATGATTATTTAAATAATTATATTATTGATAATTGACAAATATTTTCTTATTCAATTCATTGCAAATCCAGAATCTCTCTATTTCACTTTATGAGCATAAATTTTATCAAATAAATAATTAATATTTTTAATTTCAATTTTAGTATAATAATTTTTATATTTTTACGAATATCTTATACGATATGTTCATAATAAATTTACATAGAGACTTCATTGAAAATAATGTAACTGCAAATAGGTGCATATGATATTGTATATTTAATTATATCAAGAAAGTTATGAGTTACTTATATTACATGGAAATCTCTAAAAGCTTTACACAATTCCACCCATTTCTGCTGCTTTAAAGCTTATACTCGTATGTACATAACTGCATGTACTTATTAAACTTATTTAAAATTTAGTAAATACACATAAATGTGGATAAGTGCGTGGATAAATACATTTATACAAATTAAATTATTAAAATTAATATTTAATAAATATGATATAGAACAATTTAGGAATTATTTCATTTAAGGCTATTAATAATCTTATATTTTATAGCATAAGAATTATTATCATTTTACATTAAATTGATTAAAAAAAAAAAAATTTTTTTTAACTATATTACTATGATAGGAAATTTAATATTATATTACCTAATAAGTAATAAATAAACAGATATATATATATATATATATATATATATATATATATATATATTATTATTATTATTTTTTTTTTTTTTGTAAATCACACCTATTTCAAAATACTTGAAATATAAAAACAATAAATATAAATATACATTGCCTTAATATAAAATACAATAGTATAAATGTAAATATTTAAAAAATATACAATATTACCGAATGTATATATAAATTTTTATAATACAGCTTTATGGTAATTTAAGACAAATACATTAATTTTTTCATATTCACATGTATATTTTTTAATATTATAAGTTAAGAATTTATATGCATCAATGTTATTATTATGAATACAATATTCTACTTTGGCTACATAAATTAACAAGAAATAATGTTAAGGGTAATTATAAATAATTTAATACATTTAATACATAAATTACTTGGTGAAGAAAAATTATTTCGATACATTGAGAGGGGGAGATAACTTTTTTTCATATGACTTTTCATATGACTTATCAAAATTCAATTTGATTTTTATAATAAATGTTTGATATGGTTTATTTTTTTAGTTCAATCTTTAAAACTATCAAATATCAGTTTAACCAGTTAAAAATACGTTTTACATAGTCGCATTGGTACTATCGACACAAATTTAAATATCTAAACGAAATATTAATAGATATTCAGATTGTATTGATTTTTTTCACTCCAAAAATACTTTTGTCCATTCTATAGATGAAAAAAAAATGCTTTTTTTTTGCTAAGATATAATTTTTTATTTATTATATACATTAAGCATATAGATATGACTTTGAGTATTCATATATAACGATGAGTGATGAATTACTTATTGCTTAACAAATAATTTGCACGTTCACATTTGAGATATAAATATTAAAATATATTTAATTGATTTTCTTCTTACTTTTAATATAATATTTATTCAAAAGTTTTTAATCCAAAAATACGTTTCCTTCTTAATGTTGGATTACTTTAAAATGCTTTAGAATACTTTATTAAAAGATGTTGTTTATCAAAAAATTTATTCTTAATTTTTTATTTGTTTATTCAAGCATTCAAGGTATTTAATTTATGCAAATATGAAAAGTACTTTTTTCACGTTTACGTTTCGAAATTATCTTTAAAAAATGAGAAAAATGCATCTCATATACGAGAGTACATACAGTTGAAAATTGAACGTGCCATATGTGATTTAGAATTCTCGTGAAATACATTGTAAACTTAATAGTACATTAATGTCTAGTGACGTCATTGAAATTGATACCAGCATAATATTAGAGTTAATTGTAAGCGATGTCGATAGAGCAACTGAAATGATCAAAGTATTTCTTGGTATCAGTCAGTGAACAATGACAAAACTAATAAATCAACTACTTCCCATTATTTTCATTTAAGAATAATTTGTTAATTGTTTTTTTTTTGTCTTAAGGAGTTATTCAGAATTTTATATATTATTATAATGAATGTTATTTGTATTTGATTGTTTCAAATCACTTTTAGTACACGATATCGTACACAGTATGGTTGTCGTAGATTAAATTTAACATTTTTTTCCTTCAGATTTACGAAACAATTTTTGTTTTTCGAAAATAATATGTTGAAAATTCCCCTTCCATTCAATACTATTCACGCGCGATAAAATTACTAACAGCTATTAATATATAAATAAAAAATATAATGACCCCATGTACTTATTGAAAATTATTTTGTCAAACACCACTACAAGTTTCCTCGAATGAAGCTCTGGAAAGACTTTGTGTGATATTAAATACCACAAAGCGGCAAAAAATTGCAAAAAATATTGAAAGAATAATAATTGCTTCATAATCATTCCATCAATAAACATATTAACTATTGATTTGAATGACAATTTAATTTAATGAGAATTTAATGAGAAAGTGCATATGTATATGTATGTATATTTATATATAAACATTAGCATGAAAATCTTCTAATTTTGATCGTTATAAGAAGTTTATGAAAACATATAAAGTGGGATTCTTAATATTAGGAGCTTTGGCGGTTAAATCCGAATAAATGAATTCTCGCTCATTCAAAATTGAAATTGAATTTGTAAAAGTGTCGAGCCCGCTTTGTGGAATTTTATCTTCATAATAAATGTAATACATGAATATATTATAACTAAGTAAAAGCTATTCTGACGACGTTGGTGAGGACCCGAGCACAAGTCGAAGCACAGAGAGAGCACACCTTTATTCCGTCTGCAAACTTTACGAATCGAAGGTTGGCTTTTGCCCCACCTTTTGTAAGCGCAAGGTGCCAGAGTAAGGAGCAAGATTATTACGTGCATGTATAAAGATGCATAATTCCTTGCGCAATGTACACGGTTAATAACGGTTTATTGTTTGACAATTTTACAGCCTCCTTTTTCCCTTCCTAGTTCTCGTAGAAATATTATTTCTAAGATTTGCTCAATATCTGCAGTAGGCTTTAGGGAAATTTATGTGTTTATAATATATTGAAATATAGTATGGCGCTTATTTAGCTTCCTTATTGTTCATAAAGAACTTTTAATGTACAAATATTCTCGATCGTATTATATAATATTAGATTTAATTTTACATGAATATCGGAATAGACAAATCAAATTTTATGAAAACTTATCCTTTAGTGGCAGTTAAAAAGTTATTTAAAATAGTAGTCTATAAACTATAGTCTATAGTTAATGAGTAGATATGCCTTTTGTTTTTTTTTTGTTTCTTTTTTTTGTGTTTTTTTTTGTTTTTTGTGTTTTTTTTTTTGTGTTTTTTTTTTTTTTTTTTTTTTTTTTTTTTTTTTTTTTTTTTTTTTAATGAAATAATAATTAGGTTAAATTTTACCTAAGAAAATTATTGTGCAAATACATACGCACCTCTAGCGATTGAATGTCGGAAAAGAACAATTGAATGTCTTTTAGAATGTTTAATGAAAACGATTTATTAATTAAAACGATGAACTTTCTAATAAACTAATATCGTATGATTAAAGAAGAAAAAAGAAAGCAAGGAGAGCATTCATGAGCGTAATTAAAATAAAATGCATCCGTGTAACCGCCCCTACAAACATTCGTAGTAGCAAGTCCCGATTGTCGAAATCGCCGTAAACGCTAGAATATTCGCAATGAAGGCCGTTTAATCACAAAAGACACTTTGGGACATGTTTCAGATGCCCCGCGAGGGACGTATCTGCTGATAGATGGTCGTCGGCTTGATCCGGGAAACCAGTTCGTACCGGTGAAGGAAGGCTCGGAATTGACTCTGGAATGTGCAGCGGAGGGTGGAAACCCCGCACCGGTACTCGCCTGGGGCATGACCTTGTCCCAGGCGACGCTGGACGGACCGGAACAGCTACCGGATAATCTCACCATCGTGCCAGCTACTTCGCCCATTCGTACGGGGGCTCACTTGAAGGTCCTGAGGGGTCATCACAATGCCACCATCATCTGCGTTGCAAGGCACATCACTCTCGCGATACCCATGAATGCCAGCATACTCCTCGACGTTCAATGTAAGTGTCGAATCATTTTTATCATTGTCCGAGACAATAAGGGCATTGTTGTTTGCTTAAGTTAAGATATAATTTAAGGATTTTATGGGGGAGGATTTTATCCCGATTGAAAAACCGCGTATGTCTCACGAGTCGATTCATACAGTTTCACGCGGTTTATTAATTTTTATAAATATTTCATTTACATGCTTAATCGAGGCATTTTTTATTCAAATAAATATTCAAGCAAACTTTTCAATCGATTATTGCCAAAAATGAAAATAAAATACATATCATTTAAGTATACAATATTCCATAATTGATGGTTAAACGACGTACTTTTTAAAATAATGTTTAATAAAAATGAATCTAATGTAACGATAATACCTATGTTAATCTTTATATTTTCGTGGAGTTTATTTCAATAAGACTTATTTCTCGATAGTTCAAATTAACTTGTTGTAAATATATTTAATCTCCTGTTATATTGTATATGTTAGCATTGGAAATTAATGATTAGTTTAAAAATGATATCTTACATTTACGAAGGTTCAATAAATTTTAGCACAAACTAACACGCAAATTTTATAACACCTTAGCTCAAATGCCGTAAACAGTTCTGTAATAATGATTAGTAGTTCTGTTATAATTTAATTACATACTCGTATGAATATTAAATCGAAATATTAATCGAAAAATGGAATTTATCTCAATTACATTTAAGCGTGAAATTTATAGTTATACTTTTTATTGTGTGAAGCCATTTTTGTTTTGTCTTTTTGGACATTCTGATACAACGATCTTTTTGCATATTACGGCAAAATTACGAATTCACCTTTTTACAAAGACAGTTTTCTCTTAATACTACGATCGTACTATTATATAATATAATAATCATGTACTCGTGCCTTATTGGAATTACTTAAAAAAATAAGAGCTTCCGGCTTAAATACTTACGTTTTGGTCCAATCGTCCTTATCTATTTTTACATTTTACCTCTTAGAGAGTCAAAGTTATATTAAGAATAAAAGATGACGTAGAGTACTTTTTCAGCGAACATGACAAAGAGATAGTTGTAATGGGGAGCCTCGTAGAAAGTATGCTAAAGAAATGAACGTGAGAAAAGGGAGAGTAAAAGTAGAGAAAGGTTGTAAGAGGAAAGAAACCGTGAAATAGTAAACCAAGAATAAAAGGAAAATACTGCAGGCACAGGGATTAACTCTTACCGCAAGGACAAAAACATTCAGTCAGAAGGAGAAGTTGAAAAAAATGGTTGAAAAAATTAAAGAGAAAGAAGGAGAAACGAAGCTCGTATAGGTAGAATGAAAACCAGCTCGGCTTGCTCAGTCGGGCTATGAATATATCATTTTCAAGATTTCCCTTTGGCTTCTTCCAATTTACTGCTACTCTTTTATGGATATCTTATCGTGCTTTTTAGCAAAAATTTCACTAGAATATAACTATATGGACTGTCATTTGTATATGTAAAATAAACTAACATAAAGATTTTTGGAAAGAATCGTATGTAAAGGGGACACTTTTATGCAGAAGCGCTTCTATAACAAAAGAAAGAGAAAAATACATTGATAAGGAAAGAGAAAATTTTTCCCGAATTTTTCTATAATACATGTTATCTGGAAATATATCCATAAATTATGCACATTTACAAGATTCCGTACATGATGCTTAACATTATTAAAGTATATTGAAGTACTTCACAGATATTATTAGCCTTTATGGTCTTCGATTCATGGTGATAAACTATTATCGACGATAAAGGATTCTTTTAATTTGTCCTTATTAAAGAAAACATTAAAATATTTTTTAACTTTAGAATGACGCAGGATGAGATTACGCGTTATGATATTTCAACGTTACCAATAATAATAATACTGAGATTCACATAGTTTTTTTTATAAATAGAGTGATAAAAAAACTAAAAAAAAAAAAAAAAAAAAAAAAAAAAAAAAAAAAAAAAAAAAAAAAAAAAAAAAAAAAAAAAAAAAATAATTATAAAAAAATCTTCTTATGCAAAGATAAGCACTTCTCCTTATTTAAAAATTCTTAGATCTTTTGCCATCTACACAAAAGCCTTAAGAGTATAAAAATAAAAATGATAGTGCAATGAGTAGCGAGAGGAGATGAGTCTCAACAACAGCAGCTTTCATCGAAATAACGATGGAACGCAACTGTTCATTGTGCTGGGCGGTTATTTCGTTTTTCCTCTAATCTCTTAACGCCTGTCCAGGTTGCGTGAGCAGGGTCGTTAATTTTTTAGGCAGTGTATAAGCTCGTCCTCGTAATACTTGAACGAGTTCGTTCCAGGACGTTCGTAAAAAGTCGTATGAGTCGGAGATGAAAAAGTAAAAATGAAGGGGACAGTAGCACTGTCACCATCGTTTCCGTTGACCCTTTTTCTCCCTTTATTCGCAATTCACTCTTTGTTCTTCGGATTCGCCTGCTTTATGAGTACTTTCGTAATAAAACTATTGTACTTTTGGATATTTCTTTTTAATATTTTTCTCTTCTTTCACGAAAATTTCTCTTCCACTGGAAACATAAAATTATCATATAATTCTTAAGCACGAAGCATCTATATCTGATAAGAACGGCATGGCTATTAATACGTGGACTCTGTCGACAAGCGTCGGCTTTAAATAACAATCTCATAAGTAATGTTATTGTCATTTGCACAGGATAGCAACATTTATACACAAAAATACGATAATAATATAAAGGATGAATGAATTTCGATGGGAGAAATTGGGAGGAGGAGGAGGAGGAGGAGGAGGAGGAGGAGGAATGTGAAAGAGAGAGAGAGAGAGAGAGAGAGAGAGAGAGAGAGAGAAATAAAGAGAAAAGGAAAAAGGATAAGAAAGAATCTTCAATGTGTTGCTCGAAAATTAAAAATAAGCAAGCAGTCTCGATATTCGACGGGCGTCGAGCAGCACAGTTGATGTAATTGAAAAGTGCCGTAGATACTTTGAGGCGAGATGTAGGAGAAAATATGCGCACTCGAGTCTGCTTTGGATCAGAAGGAGGGGCAGTGTGAAAGATAAAGGGGATGAGACGTACGAATAAAAGGGCGAGGACAAGGTGGAAAAAGAATCGATTCTCATAGAGGAGGGTTAGGTGGAGGAGGCACGTACGCTCGCTGTATTGCAGCAAGCAATTTTCGGGCCCGCATGTTTCGCCCAGGGATGAGAGAAAAATAGGAAAAGAAAGACAAATAGAGAGAGAGAGAGAGAGAGAGAGAAGCGTTCGCTTGGAAAATTCGCATCTCGTAAATTTGCAGTCTCCGCTGATGTGCCCGTATTATTCGCGAGTCGCGGGACACATATGTTGCCGAAAACTCCCAAGCTAGCTTTACACGACAAACAATATGACAAATTTCATGCTCTTGGAGTTCACATGCTACTAAACCTTATATGCAAAGGATAGGTGATTGATGGCTCAAATATATTCAACAATTTTCCTATTCTATTAATAATTTATCATACAAACAAACAAAAGAACACTATGATTATTTCATGTTGCAACTGATTTGATAATGACTTGGCAATTTTCATACAGCTAACGTATAATAATGTATTGATTAGATTTTTTTGCCTTTAAAAAGGCATTTGACGAATGACAATACGTGTAAATGCTTATTTTTCTAAACTGAATTAAAAATTTGAATGCCTATTTAATTTTTCATCTTTGAATAAATAAAAGAACATTCGCAATTATAATTATTTTATCCTTTCTTATTATTTTACTTTTGACAAAAGTTTATATATTTCTTGACAAAAAGACGAATTAAACCCTCAGCAGATATATACAAGTCATCAATCAATCAAATTACATCTCCTAACAATGCATTAAAATAGATTTAGTAAGTCGAAAAAAAATGAGCATCCCTTAATTTTTTACAAAAATTTAATTGACGCTGCCTTTCAAAATTCATACCAAGCTCAAATCAAATGAAATAGTCCAAACAAACTATTGAGTAAGTTATTTAATCGAACCAATGCAATGTCCAATTATCCTGTATAATCTATAATAGTATTTCGGTTGCAGTGCTCACTCGATACTACCTGTGTAAATACTTTGTACACCTACGTGAATCTTTCGTACATAATCCTTCCTTTATTCGAAAATGTAGCGACGACAGTAGCATCATTCCGTTATGTGTCAATACGTGTATGGACACGCATGAGACAATACAAAAAAAAAAAAAAAAAAAAAAAAAAACCCTTAAAATACTTAAACCCTATAAATACTCTACAATTGGCTAAACCGTGCAAAAAAAAATTCTTTCACTATAAATATATTTTAAACTACAATTATATGTATACTAGTTTAATCCGAATAAATTTATCCGAAGTCTATGTATGCTCATATTTATATGTATTTACATACGTATACGTGAATAATCTTCCATTGAAATTTGATGAAATTTTTTGCTCTTCATTTCATTGAGATCAATACGACTATATAAAGAATTTCTGTTACTTAATTCTACTTTTATATATAATGCATTCGAGTCGGCGAGATGAGCCAAAAGCGCAATGAAATTATTATAATTTGTTAATCTAAGCATCTACCTCTACATCTATTTATGAATTAAATGAATCATAAATTAAATATTTTGTAAATATGTTAAACGAATTATTAACATAATTTTTAATTTGTAAAATCTATTATTAATCTTTAAAATGTCTGCAACTATGATAGAGTTGATTAATATTATGCATGCGATTATTTATGCAAATTGCAATTATATTTATTATATTGATGTGTGAGAAATTTAACCCGTTTTAGCATTTAGGAGTATCGAAGCAATAATATTGAGCTACCATTTATCATATTTAATTATTCGAATGAACACGAAGATTGGAGAATGTAAGAATTTTATTATACTTTTATAATATTTACTAGATATTGAGTCGAGTGGGCGAAACGAAGAGTATTAAAAGATGAATTGTAACGTTGTTGTTTACCAAAAGACAAAAAGACTTTGAACATAATGTGCAATA